TATCTAAGACTTCATTCAGTGTTGGGACATAAAACAAATTCCAAGTTTCATCCTTGGATTTTCTGATTCTTTTCCTGCCCCATCCCCACCCCCAGAAGTGACAAAGAGAAGGTATTATAGAAATCATGTTTATCCTGTGAAATGTTAGTCTCCAAGTGTTTGTGGTGTCTTGGAAAATATCTCTGGCCTTCTTTGTTAGTTTATTACGACTCTATTATACCATTCTGAAATTTCTGCAAGTCTTTCTTGAATCCTTTGGATTTTCTTATTATGAATCATGATTTAGAGGTAATGTAATTTAAACACCTACTGTTTGTTTTGTAAATGTAGTGATCCTTATTTGTCTTCAAGTTCCCTGTCTCAGACTTCAAGTTATGCCTCGTTTGAGCGTTTTAGGATTCTCCATTGTTGCAGAGTATCAGATATGGATCCCCCATCAAATTAATAAATCAATAGATTTAAAAACACTTAATATTCTAAATTTATCTGTTCTGGCCTGTCAATAACAGTAAAGTTTTAATGAGAAATTCAGAAGGGAATTTACATTAAATATCAATTAAGAATGACAAAATAGGATCTTTTTCTATTTATAGCTTATGATGTGTTCCTTATTTGCTTCCATAAAGGATTTGAGAAGTTTACAAATAAAAGATACATTTACAATACCACTTTGAAACAGAAAGAAAACAATTAACAACAACAATATGCTATATAGGTGGGAAAAATAAATGTGCCAAAAATGTAGGTTAATGTTGTTATAGCAATTGAAAATTAAATTTAGCTCAGATCTTTCTGGCAGCCAAGGGAGGACAAGAAGAGGGGGTGGCAAGGCATTTTGGGGTTATAACAAATCTTTAATCAGCAAAGTTATTTCTTTGAGGATTTAGCTAATGAGATAAGGATACTTTGCTCCCTGGTGAATTAGCTAGGTCCAGGGACAAAATTAAAAATTCCCAGGAGAATGAAAGACTCATACCCCTTAGGTTTTCATAATTTTTACTAGGCAGAAAACAACCACCTAGTTGAAAGTGTTTTTCTTTAAAACTATCCTGTTAGATAGCTTAATCTCCTTACAGTGAACAACCTCAAGGTGGCTGTGGATCAAAGAGCTAGGAAATACCTTAGATTGGATTAAGTTCACGTCACTTGATTGCTGCTCATTATTGGAAGGACAGCTTCAGCCTTTTCAGATGCATGGGTCAGAGGCAGCTCCTCGGGGCATTTCTTTGCTTGCTGTATTACATAGATGATCTATCCATCTATCTATCCCTCTATTGCTATACATATTTCACACCATAAACAATTAAGAAGCAAAAGTCCTGAGGCTGCCAATCTATTTCTGTCTAGAACCCATTTCTGTGTTACCTGTGGCACCTTGAATGGTGCAATTCCTGGGAATGGCACTGGGAATCTGCACCCGCAGCTGGGAAGCATTCTTGTCATTTCTTGAGACCCTAAAGGATACTGTTCCCTAGTCTGCCTCTCTATAAATTGCTAACTCTTTTGAGGTTCAGAGTCATCTGCCCATAGATATTTTCCTGAGCAGGATACATGAGTCCTACAAGCAAGCCAATACTTTGATGCACCTTGAAAACAATATTCTTCAAAAAGCCAATTGTTATTTATGTAGAGGGGAGGCAGAGAATGTATGAGGGAAGGAGGAGACAGAGCTCTCTGGTGTGGCACTCAGTCTCTCCCCTGTCATCAGCTCTGGCCCCAAATATTCACATCACATTCAGCAAAGCAAGAGCATGCAGCTCACTGCACACATCTGATGCAGTGGCAATGCTGACCCTGAAGGTTTCTGGGGAGTGTCACCTGGAGGTCTCAAGTCCCACCCCAAGTGGCTTATCAGAAATTCTTTCCAGCTACTTACAGTCTCCCTGAGAGGACTTCTGCTAAATGCAGGCTTCTCTATTTAATTACATTTCCAGTGATGTTCTAATGTCTCTCATTGATTGTTGCCCCAGGCAGTGGCCTGGCTGGCCTACCCTTAATCTAGCCCTGGTAGGCCTCAGTGAAAATTTCTTTGGGTCTTTTACATACACATCTATGACCCTTCAGCTGTACTGAAAGCTACAGAAATCAATCGAATAAATTCCAAGGAAAGCCAACAGTGAAGCCACATTTCAGCAAATGGAACATTAAAAACCTTGCCTGAGGAAAGTATGGCAGAAACTTGGCCTTTTTTTTTTTTTTTTGCCCCTCAATTGCTTCTTCTTAAATTCATTGTTGATTAGGGAAAAGAAACAGAAATTTGTGCAGTTTAAAAACCAAGCAGTGTGTACACAGGAGCAGGATGCACCAGATAATCTAGCACAGGACTGTTTCCCTCACTTGCCATCTAGAGTTTGTTTAGGGCCCCTACATACCATGTTAGTGAAGATGTCATCTTTGATGAACAGTGCCTACTGTATGCTGGGAAAAGTTGTCATACCTGGGGAAAGCAAAATGGGTAAGCAATAGAAAGAAAGGAAAGGATATTGGAAAGAAATTCTAACTCCATGAGACTTAGTGTTTAGTTGGGAAACACCTCCTGATCATATGTCTGCCATCCACCATTGCCAACCAACCCCCTCTGCCATTGGAAAAAAACAAATTGTATGGGCTATATGGCAGAACACAAAAGGTACAAATACCCTATGGTAGATTTGGAAAAGTGAAGAAACTGGGATGTGTATCTTTACCTATTTAAAGGAGACTTACATATACAATTTTTCCAAATATTTTCCCTAAACATACAACTAGAAGTTTAGGGAATAGCAAAGAGCTTTTGGTTCAATATAATGCACCAAGTTCGCTGATAACTGGGTGTCTCACTCATGAGAGAAGAGAAGGTATCCACTCGTCTGTTCACTCACCCCCTTACCCATCCATTCCTTTATTTCTCATTCCCACACACTGTGCGCACCTTGGGACATTAAGATTATTATGACATAGACCTTGCTCTTGAAGAACCCATGGCCGGATGTGTGCCACAGACTCATTAGTAGCAGGGCATATGCTCTAAAGGAGGTGAATGCAATGTGCTGTGAGAGAACTAGAAGAGAACGACTCTCTTCAAGGGATACAAAACATTAGGAGTGTGTGTGGAGGGGCAGGTAGTGGGAGCAGGCAGAAATACTTTCTTGGAGGGGAAATATGTATCTTGAAAGATAAACTACCATCAGTTAAACTGTGCTGTTTCTCTCTGAATAATTTTTTGGTGTATGCATGCGATTATAAAAATAATCCCTAATGAAGAAGAAATGGAAAATGTGGGTTTCTTAGTCTGGTTTGTGTTATTCTAACAGAATACCACAGACTAGGTATTCAGAAATTGATTTCTTCCAGTTCTGGAGGAGGGGATGCCCAAGATTGAGGGGCTGGCAGCTGGTGAGGGCCCTCTCGTTATGTCATCCCATAGTGGAAGGTGAGAGGGTGAGAGAAACAGCAAGAGACCAATCTCACAGTCTCAAGCCCTTTCATAATCCACATTAATCCATGCTTGAGCATGGGGTCTCCCCATGCCCTAAACACTTCTCATTAGGCCCCATCTTTCAACATCATTGCATGGGGATTAAGTTTCCAGAACATGTTTTCTGGAGGACACATTCAACCCATAGCAGGGGGCAAATACTTAAAAAAGAAAAAGGAATAAATGAAAGCATGATTCCCCAACTTGGGAACTCGACACTATCCTGCACAGTCACTGCAGTCATCACTCACAGCTAAGATGAGACCTGTTGGTCATCTCTGGTAGCCTGACCCCTTCATTGAGAGAAGTAGAAGCTGCGGCCCTGGGTTGGGGGTCAGGGGTCATAAAAGACACCTCTGCTGATACACAATGAGTTAATAGCTCAGCTGGAACCAAATCCTTTGTCTCTTTGCTCCTAGTATGGAGTTCTTTTGCTCTACTATACAAACCACTTCAAACAAACCTTCAATCAGAAAATAACACTGTGTGAAGCATATTCTGGGGCTTGAAATACCTGATTGCTGTAGTTTCCATAATTGTACTGCATTTTCTGGGGTCTTTATGATGAACTGACATCAGAAAGTTAAGGTATATACCTAACTCGAAGGTGACTTCAGAGTGTGGTTAATCTCCTGTGTACAATGAGTTTTTTAAAAGATTCATTTTATTGAAAGCTGAGGCAAGGCAGAGCAGTGTGTCTATTTGAATGCAATAGCACTTTTTAGGAAATCAGGTCCAGCCAATTTCTGATTCCCCAAGGCTAAATTCTATTAGGCATTAAAACTCAAATTTCAGGCACCTTGCACTGATGAACACAAGGAACATCTGTAGCAAGTTTCTAGTATTATAACAACTGAATACTGATTACTATAGGAAGAGCTAGGCTATAATGCTAACGGACTAAAATGAAGAAGCATTTGTTCCTAAATATACGTAAGTCCCTTCTTCTACCTTTCAAATGGACTAAGACGGTGGTGGACGATGTTGATAAAAAACAACCTGTAAATTTTCAGTTTGATTTTGTTACCCCAGAGCATTTACAAGCTTAATAATAGACATGCTAATAAGTACCATTAATTGGTCATTAATTCCACATTCTAGACATTTTAGGTACATTATTCCAATCCTTACAATAATCCTGAAAATCAACAGTATTATCTTTGTTTTACAGAGGAGAATACTAAAGCTTATATACGTTGAGCACCTCACTCAGATAAGGCAGTTAGAAGGTAGGTGGAGCTAATCAAAGGAGGCTGGATTGATCCCCTGCCTTTTACACAATTCCCAGGATTGCCCGACTTGTTTTTATATCCTCAGCTCCCAGCCAGGCCCTGGCATAGGCGTATACAATCAGTTTTTGAGTTGGCTCTAGTTAAACAGTAAGGATTTTGGTGTTCAAAAGTTTATATCTAACCTGTTCAGCTAAGGAGTAGTTCATGGGTCCAGGTACCAGGAAGTGGGGGTCCTTGACCAGGGTGCTGCTTGTTCTCTGTCCTGCATTTTTATTACTTGCAAGCTGGAAACAACCTGAGGCCCACTAGATCCATTCCAGCTAGAAAGAACCCAGGGACCTGCAGGAAATCTTCCCTCTGAGCCAGAGTAGAGCAACTCTCAATGCAGCTTCTTGCTTGGCCTCCAAAGCTGTCCTGTTCTCTCTGCCACCCCTGATGTTCATCTCCTCAGACTTTATCCCCCAGATCATGAACTCAGCTTCACTAGCTGGACTGAATGTACCCATCTGCCTTGACCTGCTTTGTGAACTGCCCTGAGAGATGATTGTTCTCAGGTAGGTTCCTCCAACTTGTTGGAATTTTGGTTTCAGCCATTTCTAATTTGTTCTGCCCAGCAGTTCTTCATGACCCAATGTCAGGGCAATTAGAAGGAAGGATTAATGCTGAGAATAATAGGAGTAGGGGTAAGAGGGCAGAGTTCTGTCCTTGAGTGGTAAGAGGCTGGGAATTGATCTGATTTGATGGCAGAAGACTTTAGGAAGGTATGTGGAGGTTGATTTAGGGGACAGGCTATATTCCTGTTGCAGGGTAAAGATCAGGATAAAAAATGGGTGTTAATTAGGATTTTCCTTGTTGTTGCAAGTTTCATAATTAAACTCTGGCTATGCTGAGAAAAAGAGGACAATGCTTAGACATCTCACAGTATCCAAAGACAGAAAGGCAGCTGCCTCCAGGAAATAACCTGGAACTAGGGCCCAAATAGTAATGCCGTTCTCCAAGTCTCTCTTTCATGCTTCTTTCCATCTCTCTCCCTTATTTTCCTCCCCTCTAGATTCTGGCGCACAGGGCAGGAAGCGTGGACGTCAAGATGGTCTTAGTCTTACTAAGACAGAGATTAGCTTTTTTGTTCTTCACTGTTGCATTTTTTTCTCTCTCTTTCTCTCTCATTTCTCCATTCAAGTTCCATAATTTTCAGGAATAAATATAGAAACAGCATAAGTCAGGCATTAACGCCCAGACCAAAGAACTGTGGGAAGGGGGAGACACATCATTGAAACATGGCAGGTTTTGCTGCCATCATGTGGATGGGTTGAGGAGTGGCGATTTCTAGAAAAGTGCAGGGAAGGCAACTTATAGTTACGACCCTCAAAATCCAGAATCTAATAACAGGCCAATGGTCCAGTAACAGTATCGATTAATACAGCGATTATGTATAATCATAAAAACAGCCAACTTTTATTGAGCCCAACCAGTACTGTGTCAAGTGTTTTATATGTATTATGTCTTTTAATCATCGCAACTCTAACAAGTAGGTAGTATTATTCTTATATTACAGGTCAGGAACCAAGCTCAGTATAGCTCACACTGTTAACTACAATGGATACTGCCTTACATAATGATTGACCAATCTTTATAGAAGTATGACATGGGATAATTGATAAGATTTGTTAAATGCTGGTGCAAATTAACTCTTTACAATACTCTTTTGTGATTAGCAAATTAAACAGTTGCTTCAATGCACCTGGCTATGGGAGATACGTTAATATGCATTGTGATCATGCAAAGTCTTTTATTTAAGTGCTCTAAAATTGTAAACTGTCTGTATTTCTGTCCTAATTGGATAAAGTGAGACACAAATCTACAATGTGACTTACGTCCAACATAAATCCAAAGCCAAAATGAAGAATATGATTTAGGCTTCTGATCACCCAGATTTTCTGATGTGCCTATTGCTATTCATTTAAGTAGCTACAGGGAGATTTTACTTCTAGAGAAAAATAATTGACTCCATAGTTCTGAAAATAAGAACCGATGCCTTCCACATGATTTTAGGATGCTAGAGAGGAGTTGACAATCTATAAAGTTTCAGAAAACCAAGAAGAAGAAATACGTTTCATAACCTTGGACATAGCAGGAACACGTGAATAAATATATTTTGTTTCAATTTGATTTAACATGCTTTGCTATAACACAAGGGCAAGAAAAGGATAAACTGGGATAGTTGTACCCTTGACTCTGATCCCACTATAGTGTCTCTAATCAAATATTAGCATATAAAAGGAAGGGTATGATTCAGACCCCAAAGAGCTTGGCTCTGGCTCTGCCTTTCTTCATTTTACTGCCTGTGGCACTTTTTTTTGTTTGTTTGTTTTTGGTTTTTTTTTGAGACAGAGTCTCACTTTGTTGCCCAGGCTAGAGTGAGTGCCGTGGCATCAGCCTGGCTCACAGCAACCTCAATCTCTGGGGCACAGCGATCCTACTGCCTCAGCCTCCCGAGTAGCTGGGACTAGAGGCATGCGCCACCATGCCTGGTTAATTTTTTTGTATATATATTTTTAGTTGGTCAATTAATTTATTTCTATTTTTGGTAGAGACGGGGTCTCGCTCAGGCTGGTTTCGAACTCCTGACCTTGAGCAATCCGCCCGCCTCGGCCTCCCAAAGTGCTAGGATTACAGGCGTGAGCCATCACACCCGGCCTGTGGCACTTTTTTTTGAGGATTAGATCCCTCATTTATGAAATAAAAATATTAATAACAATTACTTTTATTACTCACAGGTTAATCCTGTGTATCAAATGAGATAACTTATATGAAAGCACCCTATAGACACTGACACTAAAAGTATTATGTATTTTTTACCTTTTATAATTAATAGCTATTTCAGAAAATTAAGAAGTATAGAGAATTATAAAATGAACAAGCAATAACAGTTTGCTATTTTCAAATCCCTCCATCCCACCTTGGTGGATATTTTTCTGAGCCAATTACTCACTTTTTGTCTCCATAATTAAGGATCTTGCATTTATTTAGCATTCTCAAAGCTATATATTAGTAAATAATTAAACATAATTTGGAAATATATTTCTGTCTCTCGATGCAATGTATAAGCAACCCATGCATACACAATGTTTGAGACATTATATAAATTACATCATGCTGGGACATTCTTTGGCTGTCTGCCTTTTCTACTCTAATTATTAATATTTTTGCAGATTTTGCCCATGTTAACATATGAGCATTGGCTCATGTATTTTCAGTGCTGTAGAGTATTCCATTATATAAACAATAAACAATTCTCTCATTGTTGAAAAATTAACTCATTTCTTACCTTCTTTTTGAATTTATTGTTATGTATAATTCTGTAGTCCATGTTCTTTTAAAACTACCCTGTTCTTTTAAAATCACATAGAACATTGCCCCCTCTCAGTGCGGCTGTTTCAATGTCCTCTACCACTCACATCTTTGTCTACGGAGGTGGGATATGTGTCCTCCTCAGTTTTTGTGTTGTTGCTGTGAGATCTTTCTCCTTCCTTCTGACTTAAACTGCCTAACATTTGACTGTCCTGTCAGACATCACACCCACTACGCCCCCTTGCTGTGGTTGCCTGCTATCCCCACTTCACTCTCCCTTATTTCTCAATGATTTTTGGTTCTGATCACTGCCAGTCTTTTAAACAATATTCCTACCTTAATTTTTGGTGACTTTAATATATTCACATAAATGATTCTTCTACCATCATAGCCTTGAATTACTTCAATTTCTCCCCTCCATCCTATCTTAGCCTCTCACTTACATGATCATAGTGTAGACTCTCCATCACCTTTCCATAATCTCAGGCTCAAACATTCAACTGTTTGCCTCATCCTATCTTTTCAGCTTGCTCATTCTAGTATCACCACTCTAACACACCTTCAAGCCCATGGATCTACAATCCACTTATTAATGTGACTTTTCACTCTTCCTAATCTATACTCATGTCCTGTTGACTCTCCTCCCACAGTTTAAACTCCTCCATCAATCATTAAAGCCATTTCCTTGCATATACCCTCAGCATCCTTCCTCCTTTCTTGCTGTGATTACTTGCTTGGCTGAACTTTGACCTTAGTAAAGTTCAACTCTCTTCCTACTTTGCATCATCACAGCAGAAGAAAAACACACAGCCATGCTTACAGGTCTCACTTGAAGTTCATCAACATTGACATCAATGGATCCTTGATGCTGCCTGCCAATCTTATTTCCCTTGTCTATGTACCTATTTAACCAGTTAGATGTCACTGGGTAGGTGGAAGAACGTCTGATCCTGCCTTGTCTCTGTTCTGTACCTGTGAAAATAAACTTGTAATTCATTATTAGTGTGGAATCAAACAGAATTAAGTTTTAGGAGCTGGATGTAGCTTGCAGACCTAAAGGTACAATTTGCATGTACTTGTTTATGGGAGGCCAGCAAGGAATTTCCTTAATGAATGATCTGTAGTGCTAGTCCTTCAAAGACCTTTACCTTCTCTTTTGCATAAGGAGTTGCAGGGAGTGGTCCCAAGAATGTTATTGTCTTTTACAATACCCAAACAAAATTGCAATTCCTGCCCCCAGTTTTCCCTATGGCCACTTTCATGCTTTATTTTTCTCCATAGTATTTATCATCTTCTATTATTCCATACACTTGTTTACTAATTTTATTTATTGTCTGTCTTCCTTAACTACAATAGAAGATACTTGAGAGCTGAACTTTCTTTTGTTTCTTGCAGTATCCATGGTGGGTGCCCAATAATATTTGTGAAATACAAAGGTTGCATATCATTTCTTAGAATTATTTATAGGGTTCTTCCAGCATCTTTTGCTGTTAAATAGAATCTTTTTAAAAATTGCATTTTCTAACTCTATGTTATCACTCTACAGTGGAATTTTGTACATAAATCTTATGTTTAGTAACCTGGCTATTCATTGTTTTATAAAATTTTCTGCGAATTCTATGGTTTTCTATATACAAATGTCATCTTGAAATAATGGTAGTTTTTCATCTTTCTTTCTAACATTTACCTTTAACTTGTGTTGAATGTGTGAGTAGCACAGTCATATTGGAAAGCAGAAATGATATTGAGAAACTTGTTCCTGATTTTAAAGGGCATGCTTTTAAGGTTTAATCATTTACTATGATTTCAAACATCAACCGATAGTGAACATACTTTATCAGATTAAGGGCGTTCCCTTCTCTTCTTGGTTTGTAAGCTGTTTTAAGATCATGAATTGGTATTAGACGATTTTCTCCTGTAATTATTAATATTGACATATGGTGTTTTAAAATGTTAAATCTTTTACATTGATGAATTTTATCTCTAGAATTTCTAAGCTTGGACCATTCTTGTATTGCTGTAATAAGCCCAACTTGTTCATGATGTGTTATTTTCAAAAAACGTATTGTTGGGTTATCATGCTAATATCTTGGTTATGATTTTGTGCCTATATTCATAAAGAGATTGGGCTATGATATTCCAGTTTTACACTGTCCTTACCTGGTTTTGATTTCATTTGTATTAGCCTCAAATTGTGAGTTGG